TTAATCTACTCTCGTTTCTAGTTCATATTGATCTTATATGAGTTGTTTGTCAACTTTTGTGTTTAATATATGATTGTGTGTCCAACAATTAGTTTGATAACCTAGATGAAATTGGGAGATGAATTCTAGGTTTAGATTTGAATATGATGACATGCGTCTAGTTTATTCTTCTTAGGATTGAATAGCTGGGTTTGTGTATAGGATAGAAATATATCTATACGCCGTGTGTAACTTTTATGAGAGTTTGAACTTAATGAATCTATTCCAAATTATTTTGCATAGGAATATAGTAATTTAATTGGGATAGATAATTTTATCTAACTATCGGAAGATGTTTGATAAATAACTTTGAGTTCTCAGTTAACAACTTATTTTGATCAATTAACTGAAAAGAGAGTTAGAGGGATTTATACGAAGCATTAGGGGAAGTTTTAATCTTAACTTCTTTTCTATNGCCCGTTTGAGCGCCCCTGCGCGTGTGTTAATCTGTGACGCGAATTTTGACTTGTTTTGGGCCCAAAAATTTAACCCTAAGGCTATATATATACTAGGGTTTGTGTGGGGATGTGATATTCTGACTTTTGGGGGCTGAAAATATTGGAGAACAACCAAGGAATTGGAAGAAATTTGAAGACACAGAATGAAGAAATTGNTGGGAATGATACTCTACTTATTACTTTATTATTTGTTGATCATGTATACTTGCACGTAAATTGTCAATATCAAATTCGGACAACAGTAGCTTCCTATTGGTGTTGCATTCGTGGTAGATTTGTTTGGCTTCTGCTCATGTTACAAGTTGAGACCATTAGTCACAGAAAGATCATCATATTTGTAACAGGAACAGTCGTTCCCACAGACGGCGCCAAACTGATGGTGTAAATCAACGTGGTGCAAATTTATGGTATTGAGCAAACGGTACGAACAATATGTGACTATTAGGATCTGAGCTGCAAGGCTCAAAAGAACAAGGATTGGTATTGATGGAAAATTGGGGGATTGACACAATGAAAATATAGTGGTTCACCAGCTCGGGAGCTCGGCTAATCCACTCTTTAATGGAAGCTCTTGCTCCTTTTTACTTTATTGATCATCCGAAAGGTTTTCAAGATCGATTCTATGTTACTAGCCTCCTTCCTCCCTCTGGGGGGGCGTTACTTACTATTTATAGGGCTTTCCCTAGTTTTGTGGGATCTACACTGAGATCCTTACCATTTATCCGAAGAACTTTCCTTGATCTTAGGAGAGGATCTTGGTTGGTTAAGGATTTTGTGCCTTGAATATGACTCTTTACCACCTGTAAGATTTCTATTGTCATCTAGTTGTTCCCTTATCAATTTCGCCATTGTCACGTCTAGGGGGAACACTAGCTCTGGTTCTCTAAGCTTTGTGTGTTTTTCCTGACCTTTTGGTCTGACCTGCTTGTCTGACCTCCGCACCTAAGCTCATACTTGAAAATTATTCTGAGTATAGACTCACAGCTACAAATACTTGAACTGTCCATGTGTCCACCATTCAAACATATAGACTCACAGCTGCAGAAGCAACAATAACCCTGCTGGTGAAGAAGACCAGAGCTGAACCCTGCTGCTTTTCTCTAAGCATGACTTTCTGTTCAGCTTCCAATTTTGAGGTCAGTTCATTGATTTTTTCGGTAAAGTACTCTATCANGGCTTAATAAAATTGCAAGTTTTCAATTATTTTATGTTCATTTTTATTCATTTTGTGTGTTTTGATGTTATTTTGTAGGAATAACCATTTGGGAGGAAACAAGGTCAAAATTGGAGCCTAAGTGTTGGATTTTTGAAGAGGAAGCTAAAGGGCATTTTAATGGAGTATTTATAGCGTACCATTTTGTAGCAGTACCTCGGTTTTCTGCCTTGTTGACCATGATCCACTTCGAATCTGAAAAAGTGCAAAACATCAAAGTTGTAGATCAGGATGTCTTCTGTATTCTGTCAACATTTCAGCTCAATCGGATGGTTGTATCAAAAAGTATGATGATTCTACGAAGACTGGTCCGAAGCAGGCAGAATACAAGGAGGCACGCCCCAGCACCCAAACACTGTCCAAATCAGCGCCCTGCGCCCGTTTGAGCGCCCCTGCGCGTGTGTTAATCTGTGACGCGAATTTTGACTTGTTTTGGGCCCAAAAATTTAACCCTAAGGCTATATATATACTAGGGTTTGTGTGGGGATGTGATATTCTGACTTTTGGGGGCTGAAAATATTGGAGAACAACCAAGGAATTGGAAGAAATTTGAAGACACAGAATGAAGAAATTGACACAAAGAAGATTGGACTTGAAAGCTAGAGACGGATTGGAGACTACAACTAAGTTTTCATTCTTTTCTCTTACCTTTACTTTTTGTTTTTCTAAGATGTTGTTTAATTTTAGAATGATCTCTTTCAATTACATTATGAACTAAATTTTTATTAAGATTGCAATGGAACCTATGTCTAGTTAAATTAATCTACTCTCGTTTCTAGTTCATATTGATCTTATATGAGTTGTTTGTCAACTTTTGTGTTTAATATATGATTGTGTGTCCAACAATTAGTTTGATAACCTAGATGAAATTGGGAGATGAATTCTAGGTTTAGATTTGAATATGATGACATGCGTCTAGTTTATTCTTCTTAGGATTGAATAGCTGGGTTTGTGTATAGGATAGAAATATATCTATACGCCGTGTGTAACTTTTATGAGAGTTTGAACTTAATGAATCTATTCCAAATTATTTTGCATAGGAATATAGTAATTTAATTGGGATAGATAATTTTATCTAACTATCGGAAGAGGTTTGATAAATAACTTTGAGTTCTCAGTTAACAACTTAT